CTAAAAATGGTGAATGTTAATGAATAATCAATAAATCTGAATGAAAAATAAAAAGCTGTAAAAATATAAATAATAACAAAATAAACTGATAGAACTAACAACAAAAGTACTATTGTATCAATAAACGTAAATGGAGTGGACTTATCTAGTAAGAGAAAAAATCAGATTGGATTATAAAACAAATTCTAATGGTTCTATATACAAGTGAGTTATAAAAGTAACAAAAGGATGGCCAAATGTATTCAGACAAATGAAAACAAAAAGAAAACAAACGTCATGATAGTAATATCAGACAAGTTAAATTCTGGGCCAAAAGAACAAAATATTAAATGAGATTTGATAATGCTAAGAGTGCAATTCACAATGAAGATGTTGCAATTCATAATGAAAGTATTACAACTCTCATTGAAGATAAAGCAGTTAGAAATATCAAAACACCAAATAACATAGCATCAACATTCAAAAACAAAAATTATAGGAAATGCAAGGTGCAATAGGTTAGCACAAATCAGCAGTAAATTTTTAACTTACCTTTCTTGGCCCATAACAGTCTAAGTGGACAACACCAAGAAAATAGAAGAACTAAATAACAATAACGTGGGTCCAAATATGTGTATGTCAAAGACACACACTTGTGTATTTGTACTTTGTAGTGTAAATAACCAGAAAACAATATCTCCTAACAATTGGAAATTTTAAAATGTTCTTTTAAAATTCTTAGGACAAAGAGGAACTCCAAATCTGCAAAATCTCCAGAAAACAACCGTATTAAAATATTATATATGGAAACCTACGGAATATAGCTAAAATAATGCTCAAAGAAAAATCCAAGCCTGAAATACTTATGTTATTAAACAAGAACGAAGGAAAGTAAATAAGCATCTAATTTTTGGTAAAACTTTTTTTCACTGATGTAACACAAGCACCTAGAATGGGCCAGACACATAGTGGGCACTCAATAAATATTTGTTGAATAAATGAGTAACAGAGTAAACTTCAGAAAGGAAAAAGAATGAGTTAATAAAATAAAAGCAGAAATTAACATAGTAGAAAAAAGAAATAATAATAACAGCGCCAAGAGCTTGTTTCTGAAAAAATAAAAGAAAATAGGTAACTTAAGCACCAAGCAATGGAAGAAAGCACAACTACACAAACTAAATGTAGTAAAGCAGAAATAATCACGGACACAGAGGAAATCCAATGAGTCTACAAACCCACTTTGCTCAACCCTAAGCAAATAAATTAAATTAAAGATCTGGAAGAAATGAATAATTTTCTAGGAAAATATAATTTACCAAAATTTACCTCAGAGAAGATAGAAAATCTAAACTGACAATTACTATAGGAAAAAAAGAAGAAAAATTTTAAAGATTTACCCTCATAAACCACTAGGTCCAGATGCCTTCAAAGGGAAATTAATTCTATGTAATCTTCCAGAGTAAATAATTTTTTTTGGTGAGGAAGATTGGCCCTGAGCTAACATTTGTTGCCAATCTTCCTCTATTTTGTATGTGGGACATTGCCACAGCATGGCTTGATGAGCAGTGTCTACGTCTGTGCCCAGGATCCAAACCTGCAAACCCTGGGCTGCCAAAGGAGAGCAGCACTGTACCAGCCCCTAAGAGCAAATAATTTTAATGCTACTTAAACTGTTTCAGAGTTTAGAAAAAAATGTGGAGGAAGGCTTCCAGATTCCTTTAGGAAGCAAGAATAACATTGATACGAACAGCTGCAAAGATTAAACACAAAAAGAAAATTACAGTCCAATCTCACTATGACCTTTGATGTAGAAATCCTAAATAAAACGTTGACAAATAAAGTCCTGGAGCACATTAAAGAAAACAGTATACTATCAGTGGGTGGGAGGTTATCCTAGGAATGCAAGAATGGTTCAATGTTACAAGATGGATAATGTGATCATTTCTTTAGACAATAAAAAACATTGGATAATACTCAAGAACCTTTCTTCATAAAACATTCAATGAATTAAGGAAAGATGGACATTTCATAATATGATAAAATATATCAATCTTAACCCAAAAGCCAGTATCATGTTTAATGGAAAAACACTGGATTTGCATTAAAACATTAAAAAACACTGCATTTGCATTAAAGTCAAGAACTTCAACATGTTCTTGAGATATAAGCCAATGTAATTCAACAAGAGAAATAAATGAGAGGTATAAAAATTAGAAATACCAAGGTAAAATTATCTGTATTTGTAGATAATACGATTGTAAACCTGGAAAATCTAAGAGAATCTCAAGAAAGGAATACAACAATAAGATAATTAAATTTAACATGCTCAGGTCCAAATATAATACACAGATATCAACAGCTTTCATATATATAAACAACCATCAGTCAAGAGATATGGAGGAAAAGTCTTCATTTATAACAGCAACAAAAGTAAATAAATATCTAAGAATACATTTAATTTAAAAATGTATAGGATTTATATGAGAAAAACATTTAAACATTCCTGAAGGCCACAAAATTAAAGATAAAAATAAATGGCAAGGCAAACAGTGTTCTTTGTGAGGAATTCTCAAGATCATAAAGATATAATTCTCCCTAAACTTAGCTATAAGTGTAAAGTAACCCCAATAAAAATACATATATATGTTAAATATGTACATATTTATTTAAATAGGCAACCTAATGCTAAAGTATTTCATATGGAAAAATAAGTGACAATAACAGGAAAAGTCTAAAAAAAAGGAAAGTAAGTATGAGGAGTTAGTCCTACAAAATATTATTGTATGTTTAAAAGCACAAAACTTACAACAGAGGGACCCTGGAACATGAATATATAGAAATATCAATGGTATAGGATAAGAAGTTCAGAAATAGCCCCAAGTAAATACATATAAAATTTACTATACAAAAAGGAGGCATCTCAAATCTGTGAAGAAAAGATGGAATAATTAATGCGGTGTTGGGACAATGAGAGAACTGCTAGGGAAAAAAATGAAGCCATATTTTACATCTTACACAAGGATGAATTCCAAATTGAACAAAAATTCAAAAGCACAAAATTAATCCATAAGTTTAGTGGGATAAACCATGGTAAAATTATTTTATAACTGGAGTGGGGGAGATTCTTTAAACTATGATACAAAAATCCAGAAGCCATAAAAACAAAGACTGAGAAACTCAACTACACAAATATGTCTTCTGTATGGTGAAGACAAAAGAACAACAAAATGAGAAAATATTTGCAACTCTTATTACAGATAAATGGTTAATATCCCTAATAAATAAAGAGATCCTAAAAATCAATGGGAAAAACATCAACTACCAAATAGCAAAACAGTCAATGGGTAAGCACAGAGAGTTCACGGAAAAGAAAATAGAAATCATTCTTAAAGATATGAAGAGATATTCAACTTCATCCTAATAAGAGAAATGCAAATGAAAACTTCACTGAGAAAAGTGTAAGTTACATATCCTTTGGTCCAGGAATTCAGCCCTCTAGAAATTTATCTTGCACATATACTCCATGTAGTAGGATGAGTGGTGGTTCCCCCCAAAAACATGTCCACCCGGAACCCGTGCAGATGACCTTATTTGGAAAAGGGCTTTTGCAGATGTGACTAAGTTAATAATCTTGAGATAAGATCTTGGATTGACTGGGTGGGCCTTAATCTGATGACAAGTACCCCTATAAGAGACAGCAAGACACACAGAGTGGGAGTCAACGTGAAGATGGAAGCAGAGACTGGAACGAGGCATCTACAAGCCAAGGAACACCAATGACTGGGAGCAACCACCAGAAGCTGGGAGAGAAGCAGAGAACAGATCCAGCCTCAAAGTCTCTGGAAGGCAACAATCCTGCCAAAACCTTGATTTCAGACTTCTGGCCTCCAGAACTGCAAGAGAATAAATTTCCATTGTTTGAAGCCACCCAGTTTGTGGTACTTTGTCATTGCAGTCCTAGGAAACGAACATACTCCACCATGTAAAAGGACGTGCTTTAAACATCACTCATCACAGCACTGTTTGTATTAGGACAAGACTGGAAACAGCAAGACAACGGATTAAATTTAATACAGTGGAATATTATGCAGGTGAAAAAAAGCTCTTTATAAACTGATGTGGAAATGCTCTCTGTAACAGGCCCAACAGGAAACAGATGCTACTCAAAATAGGGGAGTTTATTTACAAGGGACAAGAAATAAGGGTGTATACAGGCATAGAGGAACCCATAAGGGAGAATGCCGCACCCTGGGGTTAGGGGCAGTGGGCTCTCACCACTGCCATGCCCAAAGGACAATCTGGAAGGAGAGAGACTGCCTGAAAGGCAGCAGAGCCGTGTAGAGGGACATGGCCAGCCCAAGGCAACTTCACAGGGAGGGAGGCAGAGAATCAATCTCCTAACTTCACTCTCCTCCCTCCCTCTCTTTGATGTCCCTCGTGACCCTCCCCATTGGCTGATCCCAGCCGGAAGCCAGAGGGAAAGGGAGCCCTGTGAGGTCCTCCATGCGGTCCACCCCGCAGGGCAGAGGTCAGCAAGGAGCCCGGTGGAGAGTGCCTCTGGAGGGGCATGGAAGCTATCCAACTCAATCTCCAAGATGGTTTTTTTAAAGCAAGGTACAGAGTAGTATATACAGTGTGTCATCATTTCAGTAAGAAAGAGAAGAAGTATCGTATATGCATTGGCTACATGTTCATAGGAGATCTGGACAGACCCCCAAGAAAATGATCATATTTGATGCTCTGGGGAGGGGACCTGGGTGTCTGGGGAACAAGAGTTGGGGGAGACTTTCCATTGTGTGCCATATTATACCTTTTGAATTCTGAACCATACAAATGGTTCAAAATATTAAAATTTTTATTTATGTTCAAAAATATAAATAAAATTTAACTTTTAAAAGTCCAATATTAATGGTCTTTACAAGAAAGGCCCCTAGATAGTACATGATTATATTCAATAAAAGAAGAAGCAGGAACAATAAAAGCTGGGGACCAGCCATGGGGGAGACGAGAAGCGTGCCCACCTGTCAGGTAATGCCTGCAGCACGGTGGGCATCAGCACTCCGGAGATAGCTTTGTAGAGGATGGAGTCACACACGCCGACGATGTTCACCACCGTGGAGGAGCCCAGCACAGGCAGCATGTGGGGCGGCATTCCTTGCCAAAAGTGCAGGAGGAAACTTTGAACCTGTATCGACCCACAGAGAGGAGAAGAACCATGAGGTTACACAGGGCCCTCCCAACAGAGCCCAGGGACTTGGCCAAGGCCAACCCAGTCGGCAGTGCTGTCATCCACTTCCCCCGCAGCAGCAGAGGCCGCCCCAGCCTGGTGCAGCTTTGGAGGACCTGCAAGGTCCTCCTGTCCCAAGTCTTCCCCCTGCCCACCCGTGTGGCATGCCCCCTGCCAGAGAACCAGTTGGTCTGGCAGGCTGGGGTCTCCTCTGCCCTGGGAGAGGGGAGTAGCATGTTAATCCATCGGCCCCTTCATGTCCACTTGGTCTGGGAAAAGTTTAAGGAAGGGAAGGCGGGATATCGCTCTTAAAAAGCTCAGAGCACTAGTACCCACTATTCTTTGGGCCCCTTGGTGCCTCGGGGGCCCCTGGGTGTTCTGGAAGGAAGGGAACAATGTGGGAGTTGTAGGTGAGAGGAATGTGTCTGAAGGGAGAAGAATCTGAAGAGTAGGGGCCGTAAAGGAAAGTCTCTTGATTCAAATTTGCGTGCCCAAAACTGGATAAAGTGCAAGCGCCTCTTCACGTACAAATTCTTCCATTGTCCCAAAGAGCACTGGCCACTTGTTGCCATTTTGGGATGCTACATGGTGATATCTAGGTGGTGAGCTATGTGGACACTCCAACCCCAACCACTAGCACAGAACAGAAATATAACAGGCACTCAAAAGTAGTTATTATTGTTAATATGATGATAGCAGGAACTCAAGCTGTGTTGCTGATGAATGAATGGCAGCGCGAATATCCAAAGCAGAGAACTCCTCGATGCCCCTACAGTTATATCTTGTAGTGTGTGAGCTGGAGGTCACAGAGAGAGCAGGTAGGGAGTGGAGGGTGGGACAAGATAAAGGAAGTGAAGGGAAATAGTAGAAGGTGGTGAACTGGTGAATATAACAACATTCAAAAATATCTAGACTTCAGCTAACATTGAGGACTGGTTCATCTGGAAGATAGGAGGGAACAAATAACCGAATTTTTGTGAATTCTCATAGGCTCAACTTGGTTCCTGGACTGTGTATCCTTCTTTCCCCCACAGATGGGCACTCTTGAGCCTATACTAAGATTCCACATATAGCATTACCACATCCCTGGTTCCCCAAATGAATCCTGATCCCATGTAGGAGATAATTTAGTACCCTAGTCTAATACTTTGGAGGTGGTATTATTATTTATTGAGTGCCTACTATATGCCAGGTACTCGGCATAGGATCTCTCATTTAATACTCACAATACTGCTACAGCTGAGAATCATTACTCTCATTTTGCAGACATTATTTGTCCAAAGCTGGACAGCAAGTCAGGGAACGGATGAAGTGGAGCCCATGTCTGCCTATCTGTCCACCTGTCAGTCTCATGGCTAGTTTGTTCTTTACGTAGTACGTGGGCTTCAACCCTATTCCTGAGACCCATGTCTCTCCTTGGACCACTGCCTGCTTCCCAGCTTTCTTTGCTCCCCACTTCTGGTGACCTGCAGTGTCTCTCAGGTCCCTCTTAGGAGGAAGGTCTTGCTTTCCTTTGACCAGGCTACCTGTGACCCCTGCCTGGTGACCTTAGCTCAGCCTTGGGCAGACTGACTCCCCTGATGTCCACAGCCAGCCTGGACTTCCCAGCGTCAACACTGGATGGGAGGCTTGGCAGAGGAGGAATGGGTAGAAAAGCATGCCCCCTGACTTCCTGGGGGGGAGTGGTAAAAACATGATCAAAATGGTGCATGAAGACAGGTCTATAATTTGTGAAACTCAAATCACAGTTCTGTTAATCCCATGACAGTGAAAATATTGCAAAGTTTTCATCCAGATTGAAAATTAAAAGAAAGAAAATCCAGATGAGTTAAGATTGCCTTCCAGGGTTCCAATCCTGGCCCCACTACCAACTAGGGGTGTAATATCTCTATGCCTCAGTTTCCTTACCTGTGAAACAGGAATAAAAGTAGTATTTACTGCACAGGTTTCAGTAAAGGTTTCTAAAAAGTACTTATTATAGTCCTTGGCATAGTAGATGCTTAATAAATTAGCTATTTTTATCATATCATGGAGGCACTATCACTACTAGGTCCAAGAAACCAGTGTGCTGCCCGAAGCATTTGAGACACACTTGCCTAAGTTTCTGAGTGTCACGCAGCCAGGATCCTCATTGTGGCTCTGCGCACCTGTCAAGGTTCTTTTTCTGTCATTTGGACACCTTGGTGGCTGAGAGTTGGCCTGGCCTCGGCCTGGAGATAGCCACATCTCCAGGATAAGGTGCTTGCCCTCCAGAGACCCTCTGCTGTCCCCTGATCCCAGCTTGTCCCTGGACACTGGCCTCAGGCTGGGGCTTGGACCTCCCTGCCTTCCCTTCCAACTCTGAGTAAGAAGTTCTGCCCAGTTGATTCCTAAGATTTGGTAGATTCTGAATTCATTTGCATCTCTAAGCTCTCCTTGCATCCAGCTCTACTCTTTTTTTTTTATATGAGCAGTTAATTTCTAGCAGAAATTGTGGAAAAGATCAGCGGCTGTGTACGTTAAAACACATCTGTGGGAAATCAGTGTCTTTAGCAGGCATCTGTTTCAAGCCTGTTCATGTAGCACAGGGAGCCCTGATCAGTCCCTGGTCTCCTGGGCAGCCCTTGTAGAGGGCATATTATCCAGTTTTGACTTCCCTTGATACCCTCTGCATTTTAGACTATTTAGTGTCCAGTGGTACCAGTTCCTCAGAGCGAGAGGAAAAAAGGAGGTAGAACAGCGTAAAGCTCACGCTCTGACACTTGGAAGTCAGGTGTGAAATGGACAGACACGGTATTTACACCAGGAGGCAGAGCCGACAGGACCTCCCAACAGACTGCATATGAAGGTTGAGGGAAAGAGAAGAATCAAGGCTTGTGGCTTGAGAATTGGGTGGGTGGTCGTGGCAATCTAAGACTCGGGAAAACAGATTCGGAGTGGAAAATTAGAGCTCTGATTTGGCCATGTTAGGTTAGATGTCAAGTCAATTGAATCTGGAGCTCAGGACTAAATATATAAAAATGAAAGTTACCAGCTTTTATACAATGGAGACGATGTCTACCTATTATTAGGATGAAATAAGATAACTTATGTAAAATGTCTGGCACTGTGTAGGCATTTAACAAATGGAAACTCACTATTAGGCAGAAGGGAGAAGTTCTCCTTACCCTTTGCAAGCATAAATGGTGAAAGAATCAGAGGCAAACGATTGAAACTGATTATTTAAAGTGAGTTTCCTGGATTATCCCCTGAACTCTCAACCCTTTTTCTCTTGGCTCAGTGAAGTATCAGGAGATGATTTCCTTAAGAATATCTAAGTAAGTTTTCTATTTTTTTTCCACGCCCATGTTTAGTTCATTCCTAACATATTGACACCCTGCGGAAATACATCTAATGACTTTCAATCAGGGTGCTGAATTGCTACAGTGTTGAAAGGATCTCAACAAAACAGTAACTACCAAAATACCTACCATTTCTTATGCTCTGAGTTCGAAATCAGACAGTTTACATACACAATTTCCATGTAATCATCACAATTTAACTATGAGGTAGATATAATTATCTCCATTTCACAGCAAAAGAAACTGAGGCTCAGAAGGTGAGTACCTTGCTCAAGGTCACAGGCTAATGGTGGATTTAGGACTCCAACACAGGACTATCTGACTTTATGCTCTTTGTGCAATGTAGTTTGGGGAAGGCTTTGCAGCAAGTCTCCTACATGCAGACTTGGGCTCTTTGTACTTGCCTGACAATGCTACAAGTCATTTGTCCATCCATCCATTTATCCATCCGTCCATCTACTCATCCACTCACCCACCCAACAAATATTTACCGAGAGCCTGAGAGTATGGCAGACCTGGATACAGCAGTGAACAAGACAAACGAGATCCCTGGCCTTAAGGGCTTACATTATGATGGTAGGAGACAAACAATGCACAAGCAAACAAATAATCTGAGATTGTGATATTAGCGTAAGTTGTGACCACAACAGATATTAAATATTTTGAAGACTTGAAACAAACTATAATGTCAAGGTATACCAGATGCACCCACTATCCATTTACCAATGACTTTTCCTAGCGGTGGGAGAAAGTCCATGCCCATCAGAAGTAAAACATCCCCCTTCATTCTTTTGTGGTTGGGTAGAATGAACCATATCTTGATTAGCCATCTTAAAAACAGCCACCAAATATCCCTGCCACAGGCGTGCAAAGAATATTGGACTAGTGGTGTCAGGTGACAAAAGATCTAGTCGTGACTTTGGCCCTAACCAACTATGTGACTTTGGGCAAGTCTCTTAACTCTCTGGTTGCCATATCTGATAAAAGCAAGCATTTGTACTCCTTTTGTGTCTACAAAGAGCTTTTCCAGGCATTGTCTCATCTCCTCCTTCCAGTAATCCTATGAATTACATAAGCAGGGATGATTTTTTTTTTTTTTTTTGAGGAAGATTAGCCCTGAGCTAACTACTGCCAATCCTTCTCTTTTTGCTGAGGAAGACTGGCCCTGAGCTAACATCCATGCCCATCTTCCTCTACTTTATATGTGAGACGCCTACCACAGCATGGCTTTTTGCCAAGCAGTGCCATGTCTGCACTCGGGATCCGAACCAGCGAACCCCAGGCCGCCGAGAAGCAGAAAGTGCGAACTTAACTGCTGCACCACCGGGCCGGCCCCAGGGATGATATTTTTATCTTCACTTCTAGGATGAGGAATTGAGGCTTTCCTAGCACAGCCAGGTCCTGAATCCAAGCCTGGGCTCCAAGTCTGGCACTTTTTGCATAGGAGCACCCTGCCCATTGCAAGGTTTCTGGACCTCTCACCATATATCTGCCTCCTAATTGCTGGTGTGCCTTCTTCCCCCTCCCCCAACAGGCCGTGTCTTACTTATTGCCCCATTCCTGGGACCTAGAGCAGTGAGTGGCACCATCAGATATCCAGTAAGTGTTGGGATTAATGAATGGCATTAAGTAAAATGAGATGATGAGCTTGGGGATGAAGAAAGCTACATATGAACGTAAGGGAGGACTATCACCAGTTTTATTGTTAGTCCTTGTGGCAGAGAGGGAGAGCTGTCCACTAGAGCTCTGAGCTCCTCTTCGGTAGTAGTGTAAGCCGCTGCCCAGTGAGGGGCCACACTTCTGAGCTCCCCCTGCATCAAGGTGGGGCCATGAAACCATCTGTTGCCCATGGGATGTGGAAAAAAGTGACGCGTTTTATTTCTGGACTGACAAGGTTAAGAGCATGTGTTCCCTGAAATCCTTTTCCCCATCCATCAGCTGAACAAAGAGAACTCCAAGGCTCTAGGGCAGAGTGTGGCTGCAAGGGGGAAGGAGCCTGGGTCCCTGAACCACTCCCAGCAACCAGCCTTCCAACCGAGAGCAGCCACGTTGGATTGTGACATGAGGGAGAAATAAACTTCTCATGTATTAAGATTTAGGGCATTATTTGTTACAGAAGCCAGTGTTGTCTTAACCAATCATGAATCATTACTTGCCCTGGTCTCAGAGATCTTTGGAATGTTAAGATATAGCCAACTTGAGAGAAACCACAATATGAGAGAAAGCAGTGATTTTTCTTTCCTTAAAAAAAGGGGGCTGGCCCAGTGGTATAGTGGTTAAGTTCACGCTCTACTTGGACAGCCCCGGGTTCACAGATTAGCATCCTGGGTGCTGACCTACACACCACTCATCAAGCCATGTTGTGGTGGCATCTCACATACAAAACAGAGGGAGATTGGCATGAATGTTAGCTCAGTGACAATCTTCCTCACCAAAAAAAATAAATGAATCTACTTAAATGGTCACTCAAGGAACTTGGGAGGTTTAAAAACTCTAGTGGATAAAAGTCAAGAGAAGGAAGAATAGCACTTCTCCACCAACACACTGGATCTCTCCTGGAGCTGTGTCCATGAGCCAACTGACAGCTCACGTTCGACCATGACAACACAGGATTACTGTGGGAACAGTAAATGAGCTGACACAAGTAAGTGCACGTCTTACTACAAGTTCACTGTTGTGAGACACAGTGGTAGAAAGGCAGGAAAATATGGGGGAGAAGAGCATTTTGTATCTTCCATCATTTTTTACCCCTCCATCTCCAGCAGCAACCCCTCCACCTGCCAAAACACACACAAAGGGACTCTCTGGGATCTTTTCTACCACTAACTACTGGTTTTTACAGCCCCTTTAGAGCCTGTATTATCTTCCCTCAAATTGAATGTCCATACGTGATCCCAGGGTGTTTTTTTTTTTTTTTGCCTGAAAGGCATTTTCTTTAAACAGAAAGGCCTCAGGTTTATGGGGTGAGATGTGTAGTTTCTTGCCATCCCTCTGGAAGGCTCTTTTGGATGGCATTTTGGGCAAGAAAATTTTGTTGTCTCTCTTTTATTATGTAATGGTGCCTCAATCCTTTCTTCTCTTTTCTTCTCCATTCTTTAACTGTAATATTTTAAAATAAAAGTGAAATGGACTTCTTATATTGTTTGTATTCAAAGATGGCCCTACAGGATTTGATGGACACTGAATGGACATACCCTTCCTTCTCAAGGTCTGGTCTTGGGAATGGAGGGTAACCAGCACCGAGTGCACCAAAGTGGATGAGCCTCAGGAAGAGATTAAATACAAAATATAGGAAAACTTTCCTTTAGTTTCTCTGAATCTATAATTCTAGGTGTAATGATACCCTGGCCAAATTGTCTTCCTAGTAGGCCAATCAGGCAGGATGCAGTTCACTAGTTAGATCAAGGAAAAGGCCACGCCAATTGCTGCTCACATACAAGATCTGTAAAATGGGATAACAATAGTGTGGGCTTCATAGGATCCCTGTGAAGACTGAGCTAATGTGCATCCAGGGCTTCCAGATGGTCTGGCCCCCAGCAGGAGCTTGTGAAAGAGGAGCTGGTGTTATTATAATATTTTAATACAGGCTATTCACAGCTCATCACTTATTGACCTACCTCATCAAAGTTGGCTCTTATTACAGTGTCCAGGATTCTCTGACAGTGTGTTCTGTACATCATAATAAAGGTAGAAACCTGTAGGGGGTGGGGAGAGATCAATAATAAAGGCATACATTAATACACATTACTGCTGTGCTTGGAATCTCAATTTTCAAGTTATTTATTCCCTGTTGAGGCGATGGAAATGTGCCTAACATCTACTCATCCAGCGAGACCCAAATGAGACTCATTTTCATTAGGTGATGTTCTCCGACCCTCGGCTTCCTCCTCTGTGCTCACACAGCAGCTGAATGTGTTGCTCCTTCAGAGCACTCAGCCTGTGATATGGAAAGCATCAGTTTCTCTCTCTGCGCCCATTCTCCACCCCCTCAGACTGTGGGCTCTGGGAAAATAAAAACGGCATGTTATTCATGCTTGCGCATCCAGCATTTAGCACAGTGCCTGGCACATAGTAGAGTTCAGTTGGTATACTGAATTAATTTCTCCTCATCAGCTAACATACCGAAAAGCTAAAACTCAGTGTGTGTTTATAAGAAGAGGTACATTTGCCAAAATCACAAAAAGACATTTGTAAATTCTCTGGCATAGCAAAAGAATTTCATCTCCAGCTCCATTTTTCCAAGAATTTTAAAGCTAGAGCCCAGGAAGTTTGTTGAGGAAAAAAAGCAAATTTGAGCAAAAAAAATATAAAGATTTATCTAGTTCTTAGGTTTAAAGCACTCTTTACAGATATTCTTTTTGTTTCAGAACACAGACACGTGTTTTATGTAACCGTAGTTTGCTTATACAAGCGTCTCCCTCCTTGCTTGTCTGTAAGCTTCCTGAGAGCAGGACTCATGTCTCATTCACCACTGCATCCCAGCTTCCAGTGCGATATATAGACAGTAGAAGCTCGACACCTGCTAGTGCACTGGGCTGCATCAAGATAGGTGCATTAGAGATGTGATAACCCAGGGGAAAGTCCCCAAATTTGTTTTCCAGTAATTTCCTCGAAATACCCTACGACCCAAACTATCTGATTTACTATACCTATAAAGTCTTGTTTGTCTACAGGACTATGACTTCACTACATCCTCAGCAGCACATGGGAAAATAAACTTTTCTTAAAAAAGGTTGTACCACAGTATTTATTTATTTTTTAAAAGATTGGCACCTGAGCTAACATCTATTGCCAATCTTTTTTTCTTCTTCTTCTTCTCCCCAAAGCCTCCCCGTACATAGTCGTATCTTCTAGTTGTAGGTCCTTCTTGCTGTGGCATGTGGGACACCACCTCAGCATGGCCTGATGAGCGGTGCCATGTCCGTGCCCAGGATCGGAACCTGCGAAACCCTGGGCTGCCAAAGCAGAGAGCGTGAACTTAACCATTCAGCCACTGGGCCGGCCCCAGAAAATAAACTTTATCCTATTAAAAAAACAGTCTAGAGGAGAGGGGTCTTTCCCTTGTGAAACGAGACAGTGTAACATCATAGATGGGTAGGTAGGTAGGTTAGATAGATAGATAAATGTTTTATTTTAGGATAGTATTGGGTTTGTAGAAGAGTTTTGAAGATAGTACAGGGAGCTCCCATATACCTGGCACCCAGTTACTCCATTGTTAATATCCTACATTAGTATGGTACATTTGTCATAACTAATGAACCAATACTGATACATTATTATTAACTAACGTCTATACTTGATTCAGATTTCTGTCTTTAAATTTTTTAACTCACCATTTTGCAATAAAATTGCGTGTGCGTGCATGTGTGTGTGTGTGACAGAGAGAGAGGGAGAGAGAAACCTCGTTCCCAGTAACACTTTAGACGCGGTCACCTTCTCCTCAGGCAGACTGGCTGGCAGGTTTAGATCTTTCACATTTGGAAACTCTGGCAACAACGTTCCAAGTTTGGACCGGGGTGAATATGCCACCGTCTGCTTGCTCACTTCTTTCTTGCCTGTCTCGCTCACCCAGGCGGCTCCTTTCTTGGAATACATCACATCATAATATTGGGAGCTTTCCTTCACCGCGATGCCGTAGTAATGGTACCTGGGCCACAAAGAGAGAGAGACCCACATGCACTGTTATCAGAGAGGTTTCCTGAGTGGCAGTACCCAAGGCCAAGGAGGGCTGGGCCCATCCTCCCTGGGCTAGAAGAGTTAACTGTCATGTAAGGCTCGGCATCTCTGAAATCTAGAATTAAACCAAAGTTCCATGTCACCAGCCATCAATCAGGCAGGTAAAAATAACCAAAATTGCCTCCTACAGAAAATGTTAAGTCAAATACTTTGCAAAGCAGAAAGGGGGATAAAAAAAATTTCCATTTGTACATAATATCTTATATCTAGACAAATGTAATCCCAGAGGCACAGTAATTGAGTGCCCACCTCTGTGGGGACCCAAGAAGAAGGGCATGTTTACGACTGCTAACTGTCCCACCAACAAAAATTCATTCGAAATCAATAAATGGTTGTCTTGAGGAAGTATACCTTTAAAAAGAAATTCGGTTGACACCGAATGTAAAACAAAGACCAGAACTTTGTATTAACTCAAAACGGACTTAATAATAGCAATGTTTTCAATTAAGACTAATGAGAGGCGGAGGCTTCATAGTGTGGATTTCAGCTACAATCTATGGATCACTTGCTGCGTGCCTGGCACTTTGTAAAGCGCTTCACACGCATTAATTTGTAAAATAAACCTATGAAATGGGGATTATTAGCCTTTCCACAGATGAGAAAATGGAGGCAAGAAAGCTTCAATAATTTGCTCAAGGTCACACAGCTGTGGAGGGGAAGAACAGGGTCTTGGACACAGGTCTGTCTGACTACAGAGCCACTACGATATACTAACGGAAAGCCCTGCCCAGCAGTATTATAACCGTGGATGTTTATGGCCCCGTGATCCTCAATGGTCAGAGAGACTGTCATTATCTCCTATTGTAAACGGTAGACAAAACCCCTGTGAGGCTGGAACTAATTACTACCCCCATTTCACAGACTAGGAAACTAAGGCCCAGAGAATTTGAGTAACACACCCAAGACCACCAAGTAAGTAAGCGGTAAAGGCAGGATTGGAACCTCCACAGTGCTTTTGACCACTAAGCTAGTGACTCTCAAACTTTCCTGCTAACAAGAATCAACTACAAAACATATTAAGATACAGACTCCTGGGTCCCACCCCCAAAGACACTGATTTAGTAGGTCTAGAGTAGACTTTTACACTCACACTACTAATACTCTTGTAAATAACTCATGGACCTCGCTTTCAGAGACACTGTACAACATATTAACTACTCTTTTCTACTCATGGAGGTGTGGCTGGTGATAGTCACAAAATAACACAAATGAGAAACATTTTGAGTTATGGGAGAGGCTTCCTGGGGAGGGGAGAGATGAGCTGGCATAACCTCCCGTCTTCCCGCCCCCCTTCACTCCTGATACCATTCTGTGATACTTCTGCTCAGTGGGCATCTCGCCTCTATCTGAATGCCTCCTGGGACGAAGAGCTCAGGCCCTCCGAAGGCGGCCCAGTTCATCTTAGGTCGGTTTCAGAAAGTTCTTCTTTGTGTTGAGCTGATCTCTGTCTTCTGCGCCTTCTACTTCCCAACTGTCATAACTGCCTTTCCATCTCGAACGGCTTCCTTGGCAGGGGGGAGGGGACGGGTTCCGTTGCTCCAGAAGCGCCCTCCAGGTGGGGAAGCAGTTATGACACGCCTCCCTCACTTTACAAAGTTCCCCTTTATAATTGCTTAAGATCGCGATAGTAAAAACATGTTCAGATCAGACCTCTTTTTGATTATTCTGAGTGCATGTGGCTAAAATCAGCAACTACGGTGAAGCTACTGCCTTGATCACTTCTCAGTGTTTCTATTTCAGTTCTGTAGGGCACATCGACACCTTCTCGCTAGCCACCCCCCAAATATATTCTGCCAAAGTAAAGCCGCTGAGGGATTGTCTCTATAAGGCCCAGGGGCAGGTTGGAGACTAGAGCTTATTAGCTTTTTGATTGGTTGAAGGTATGACCAACCTTATGGAGGAGATACGATGAAACTGATTATATTGAATTTTTAAAGAGGATATTGCCAAATTTGCCAACCTCTAGGTTAAAGAAAACAAAAAACAAAAACAGGCTCACACAGGGGCTGGCCCGGTGGAGTAGTGGTTAAGTACATACACACCACTTTGGTGGCCCAGGGTTTGCTGGTTTGGATCCCGGGTGCAGACCTATGCACCGCTTATCAAGCCATGCTGTGGCAGGCATCCCACATACAAAATAGAGGAAGATGGGCACAGATGTTGGCTCAGGGCCAATCTTCCTCAGCAAAAAGAGGAGGATTGGCAGCGGATGTTAGCTCAGGGTCATTCTTCCTCAAAACACAAAAAACAAAACAAAACAAAAGCAGGCTTGCACATGCAGGCAGGAGGAAACTTTCTCCACGTTTATATCAGATGGGAAACGTTTCTGTTCCGTCTTTATTATCTTTACTCCCTGTCTTTACTATCTATTTCTACCCTTCTATCTGAGGAATGGGCGACAATGTATTGGAGCCAACGACTTTTCAAAGACCATGAGCTGGAGAAAAAGAATTCACCTCCTTTTATTTAACATCGTTCCATCCATCCGCTTAGCTGCTCAATCTACATTTTGAATTGCCCGTGTGTGCCAACCACTGTGCTCACCAGCAAATAAGGAAGGAAGAATCTGCCTATTGAACTCCACAATCTTACCAAGGCTGAAACCTCATTTTTAAACAAATACTAGAATTTCTCATTATAAAGGAGATTTGTTTCTTCAGCATTTTATTCTTCAGAAAGCTATTAGAAATTGATTCCAAAATGTCCCTTGCTCAAAAGTCTTCTGTAACTCTCCTTGGAAATCGCCCTCAGAGCTTCTGCGCCACACACACAAAAATGAGTCTCATTATTTTCAGAACTTTACCAAAAAGGGTTTGACCAACCATTTTCTTACCTAACTTTCTCTACCTAACTCCCACCTTGGAAGGATGGGAAAGTGCTGCCCAGGGATGGCAGGAGCGGGGTGGTGGTAAGGGAGTGAGGGGACATTATTGGACACACTCCTTTTGAAACATCCTTAGATCTCTAAGTCTTATAAGTTCTATATGGTGGTTGTTTTTTTAAAAAAGTTTCAGTATTTCATAAGTCAGTGTGTGTTCACCTGCTACTCAATAGGATCAAAACGTTTAGAAATCCTTCATGATAAGGCACCCTCTAGTGGAGTCACCATGCACCTTAGCATAATAAAGGCTCTGAGAAGTCCTGCATAGAGGAACCTGTTTAACTCAGTGCTTACCAAACTTACAGGGCCATCAGACCTTTTTCATGGAACATCTATTAATGTATAACAATTTCTGAAACACCCTTTGAGGCAAGTCTTATAAATCCAGATTTTAGTGAAGCCTGAGCAGTACAGGCAGAGTCCCTCCCACCGACTCACACCTGGGAGACAGGCATTCACACATCCTTCTCACTCCTCAGGTCACCTCCTCAGAAAGGCCTTCCTGGGCTGTCCTTTCTAAACTAGGCCACTCCTCTTTCCTTATTCTCCAGGACAACCCTCTTTGTCACAATCTGATTATGTCTTTTGTCTGTCTTCCCCAACATCATGTGCTCCATGAGGGCAGTGACCCGTTTGCTCCTGCGCTCCCGGCACTCAGCAGCACGTATCTGACACATGGAAAGTGCGAAGCAAACATCGGTTGGTTGGGCAGAAGTGATGGATGGAAGCAGTATGCTCTGTGTACCACGGTGTGGCTGGACCTTTCCCCCGTCTCCCTAGCAGGGATTAGTACAGGCTGCTCCTCTGGCCAACTGGACGAGAGCAGAGCATTTGCTCAGCAAAACAATCCAAGTAACCTGGAGATCAAGAAGCCACAAGGTCTTCTTTTAAATGATGTTCAAGACTATTTACAAAAGTGGCTAAAGGAAAGGTGGCACACAGCTGGATGCATCTGGGCCAGATGGCCCTGGGCTTTTGGACAGCCTCTCTCTCAGGGTCCTGGGAGAGGCCCCCCACCCCACTCCACCCTGGTTGTCTAAAGTTTGTCCATGCTCCAGCCAGACACAGACTTCCCACCAGGCCTGTATTCAGAGTTCAGGATGACAGGCCTGGGTCGGGGCCTGACTTGAGGCCCAGAGATGTGCGCTGTGCAGGTGGAATGGGTGACAGTGCTTACTTTGACTGTCCGCGGGTCCCGAGTCTTCTGGTGGTTAACTGAGGAAACTGCTGCCTGATGATCTGTAAGTCAACACAAGAATCAGTTACCCGTCAGGAAAGGTTGGGAGCACAGTGACTGAATTTTACAAACAGCAACCTAAAGAAGGGAGGAAAACATGTCCTTCGTCGCAGTGACTTGAGTCCATGGGGACCCTGAGGAAGACTGCCGGTGTGCAGGAGGCAGGAGGGGAGCACTTGAGGGAGCCTGGGGCTCTGCGTCCTGAGGGGTCTCATTTCACCCCTCTGCCCTTCTCCCCTCCTACTCACAACGTAGGGAGAGTGCTGAGAGAGAGCCTGAACGCGTCATTCCCCTGCTTAAAGCCCTCCAGTGGCTTCCCTCGCCCCTGGAGCTAAAACCCGCCCTCAGCCTCTGCCAACCTCCTGGCCTTCCTCTGCCAAGACTCTCACCCTTACTCACAGGATCCCAGCCACACTGGCTGTTTCTTTTTCCTACTCCTGAAACACACGAGGCTTGCTTCCCACTGGGGCCTTTGCACTGCAGTTCCCTCGGCCTGGAGTGCATTTCACCCAGACCCTCACTCGATCAGCTCCTTCTCTTATAACAGTCCGGCCTCTGGGCAAGATCCAGATCAGCCAATGCAGAGTGGCATGAGCAGTCCCCCCGGGTCCCGTGGCCCCGCCTTACGTCTTCTCACTGAGCCCTCTCTAAAGTTATCTTGTCCTCTTACTCTTATTTTGTCTCCTGCAAGTGCAATGTCAGCTCCACGAGAACAGGGGCCTGGCACAGGGCTGGCACATGAGAACAGCTCAGTCCATGTTTGTTGAATGAAGGAAGGAAGCCTGACCCTGCCTGCCCTCCAGCGTGTCCTTTACTCCTGTGCAGAGTGGAGGGTGGTAACTGCTGTTGCCCAGGACGACCACATGGATTTGCCAGAAAGCTGGGAGGAGGGGCTATCTGCCAAGGTGAAAACACAACCAGCGGGGCCTCTCTCCTTGGTGTTCACAGGGATGATGTTTGTGGAGAGGCAGGCTAGTGTCGGGCTCCTGTGCAAGGGCTCTGGAGCTAGACCACGGGGAGGAGACCCAAGCTCAGCCATTTGTTGGTTGGGGGCCCTTGGGCAAGTTATCTAACATTCAGACGAGTCAGTTCCCTCATTTGTAAAATGGGAATGATAATAACCTCCACCTTAGAGAATTTTTGTGAAAATCTAAAAGGCAAATGTATGTAAATAATTCGCAACAGTGCCTGGTACTTAGCAAGGGCTCAATAAACATAACCCATTATTACCACTGATTGTCTTAATGACTCACTCCCTTTTACTTCCAGGGACTTTTCTCTTAAGTCTAACCACATTCTTCTGGACTCTCTTCCCTTCTCGGACAGCATCCAGCAGACATGTGTGGCCAGAGAGAGCGAGCCTGCACGCTGTCCTCCTGAGACAGGACACTGTTGCTGATTTCCCACTGGTAGGACGCGAACGTTAAGCACGTTCTCAGAGGTAGGGATGAATCTCTATTGATCCGTTCACACCCTCTTCCATCCACACTGATACTCTCCTTGACTGATTTGCTCATTCACTCAACAAACATTTACTGTGACCTTGTTAGTTGTTTGAAGTTGCACATACTATTTAACCTCTCCGTGCCTGAGTCAGCGGACTCAGGGCTCACGTGACCCTCCCCTACTCAGAGGGATAGATGACGGTGGCCTCAACGAAAGTGGCATTAGCAGGATGGAGAGAAGTGGACAAATTAGAGAGGAACTGAGACTCTGGAATAGGTAGTGTGAAGATTGACCCTTCTGTATGTTAGGAAGCTGACCGTCTCCACCGTGGAGAATGGAGGAGGCAGCACTTCCTCATCTGAAAATGGGTGAAAAAACCTGCATTCCTCAAGGGTGGTTAGAGAATCTAATGAGACGACATCACGATACCACTTTTGGAAGTAAAAAGGGCTTCTAAAATGTTATCTCGTAGTGATGATCCTGAACAAACTGATGTAGTAATTCTCTGAATTCTTTAAGGGTGTCACTTTGTAGGTGACACACACCTGGTTTCTCTAACCCTAACTCCTTCCTGTAAGCTAAGGACATGTACTTCTCACTTTGTCTATGTCCCTCTCAAACTGTTTTGTGACCCGAGGAAAATGCAGTATTCAGGATGGGGTCTGACGCAGGGGTCAGTGACAGGGCTCTCTAAACGCTCTGTCCCATTATGCAGTCCAAGACCACACCAAGGTCTAGTGGCCTGATCACCGTGGGCCACTTATATTAAACTCTGGCCAAGTACGCCCTCCAGACTTTCATCACGTGACTAGTTTCAGAGCCAAGATGTGAAGCAGCTGTTCACAAAGGTCCACTACTGAACAGATACAGATCTGTCAATAGAAACGGAAGGAAAACATGAGAAGCACAAAGATGGAGCCAGAGGAGTGCTCACATTGGTTAAAAGTGGGTTATGATTTGGGTTCTGAATTTCCTACCAACTCAGGAAAATAACACAATAAAGTTACAAGAGTCCCAGTATCCATATGAGAGACACATACTAGTTGCTTAGAAAAAGCAGAGATTTTTTAATATTTCGGTCTGGGAAATTTCTCCTATGCAATGAGCACAACAGTATGGACCATGTTTAATGCTCTGAGATTAGCAGACATTTTGAAAACGATAATAATGAGTACTGTCAAGGGTGTGGTAAAACTGAAATACTCACCGATTATTAGTGCAATCCTTCCCCAAAGCATTTTTACAGTATATATCAAAAGCCACAAAATATTCATACTTTTTGATTTATTCCAAGGAAATAATTTAAAATAAGAAAAAGCTATGCGCAGGGCTACTAATGAGATTGAAAAATTGGAAACAACATAAATGTCCAATGATAGGGAACTGGCTAAATAAATGATTGTATATACATGCTCAACAGAATATTATGCAGGCATTAAAAATGATGGTAACAAAAACTATGTCACAATGCAGAAAATGCTTACGACGTACCACTAAATGAAATAGCAGACCTCAAACTACACTTATACTAGGATTACAATTCATGTTTGTACAAATATGGGAATGGAAAGGGAATATGGAAAAATAAAATAGATTTTTGTTAGGGTCGTAGGATTGTGGGTAGAACAAAAAGATTTTTGTATAAAATTTGCATACGAAATCAATTATCTTTCACAAATAGAAAAGGATTTTCTCACTACAAATATTCTTAATTGGCAAATGAAGTTCAAGATAATCTTGAAAGAAGCACCCAAAATCTACCAGAATGTTCTAGTGGTTGTTTTTCTTTTTCTTTTAAAAAAAATAAATCTTTCCCTATTCCCAGCAAATAACATGTATATAATTTTTAAAAGCAGCACTTTTTTTTTTTTTGGTTGCTAAGCTTTATTATTACTTGATTCAAGAGAATAGGCAAAGTTCTGAAATCTTTCTAGGTGTTTATCCAAATGGTGTCCCAAATAATGTCCACAGAGCGAAGAGCAGCGTCTGGCCCTTGGCTAAGGTGCCAGGGCCGCAGACTCAGTTCTAGAGACGTGCCAGAGAGCCACTGGGGACGTGGATGGGCCTTCTGGAACAGTTTGTTCTACCTCCACGAGGCAATAAGACATACAGTCAGTGTTTGCAGTTCTTTGCACTATGATCTTAAGGAGTTATCAAGCCGTGGAACGGGGCCTGTGAATTCACCAGTCATGTAACCTATGATTTCCTCCGTAGCTGATGGGTTTTACTTATTCTTTTTGAATAATGTGTGGATCAATGCCCGCAGTTTTACCATCTTTGTGACCAGCATCCCCTCCACTGAGTCACCCAAGACAGAAGCAGGAGAGACTCCACTCTCTTCCTGATACTACAACCCATGTCCTGTTGATTCTACCCAAGACAGCCACTGAAGCCAGCCACTTTGCTCTACCCCGCTGCCACTGCCCTAGCCCCCCAGATCTCTCGCCTGGACCACAGACACATCCTCCTAACTGGCTGCCCTGCCTCCAGTCTTGCTGCCCCACCAGCAGGATCTTTCTAAAATCCAAATATGATCATTTCATTTCCTTGTTGAAAACACTGGCTGCCTTCTCGTTACCTACACTGGATTAAAATCCAGCCGCCCCAGTCTGGTCCATGAGGCTCTCTGTGATCTACCCCAGCCCAATGCCCCAGCCTCAAATCCCGCCTCTCCCCTACGTGCTCCCCAAGCTCCAGGCACATGCCGGTCCCTCCGTCTGGAAGGCCAAACCCACGCTGCCCCCACTCACCCCTGAGCAACTCCTCTCTCTTTCTCTTTTCTCCACTGCCCCATGACCCTTCCCGTGAAGACTTAGATGCCCCCGGCTCTGTTTTCCTAGCGCGTCAGGAAGCAGTTCTGTACAGTGGTTAAGCACACGGGCTGTGGGGTCAAGTCCTGGCTCAGGCACTGTGCCAACCCCTGTACTTGTATGAACTCAGTTCATCATTACAACAAGCCAGGTTCCATTGCTATTCCCTCTGTACAGAAGAGTAAACTGAGGCTTGGAGAAGCTAAGTAACCTGCACAAAGCCACACAGCTCACGGGAAGCGGACCTGGGATTTGAATGTACCCAGTCTGACTCGGCGCTCATTATTGACCACAACATTATTATTGCTTCTGGATGAATGAAAGTGCCCCAAAGCCCCTCATTCCTTCTTTTAACAGCAATTTTCTTTCTTTTATGTCATATTCTTGCATTTACACACATTAGGTGTGTTTGAGGAATGAAATGATTTCTTGTTCCCATCTACTCTTCAATGAAGATTTCCTTTCAATTCCCCTCGCTTTGACCATCTTGGAAACGTTCTGGTGGCCTCTACTATGAACAGGATCTGGGAGCCCTGCCCCGATATGTATTAGGGAAAGTAGGAAACAGCTTGACATCAGCAGGCAGCCCAGTGTCTCATCTTAGATTAAATCTATCTGCATCCAGTAAAGTGGAAATCTGGAAATTAAACACTTCTCCTGCTTAATAAAAATACTACGTAAGTAAAAGTGATTCTGTTCAGATCATTGTGGTCCCCAGGTGGATGTACCAAGGGAATAATCCAGAT